GTCTAACGACCGATCTTCGATAGGTTGTGGCTAGAGTTGCAAACGAGTCGAGTCGAGTCGAGTTTTGAACTAATCGAGTCGAGATCCCATTTACGGTTTCAGAATTCAGAGTTAATTACATTTCCATCATTTGCTTTCGAAGTTTTTTTTATGCTTGTTTGTGTCTCTGCTTCAGATATCACAGGCCAGTGGATCCCAGCACATTTTGCTATGTGCTTGAAACAACTTCTTATTTGGTCCTATTAATTTAAGAAACATCCAGTGCTTTTTAAGGTATACAGGCATGGTAGAATGTATATCCCCTGCCGAATTTGTGACTTTAGAACTAAAGCTCCATTTTTACCATTGCCTATGATGGCTTTTGAAACTAGTGCAGAACTTGAAAACTAGAATCTCCCAGAACATGTGTATTTCGTTTACAGATTGGTAGGGTTTCTGGTGAGAATTTTGCAGGCCATTTTACTTATTTCAATTTTATCTTGGAATATGATCATGTTTTAATCTCTACGTTCTTCTATTATGCATGAATTTCAGCCTTTGGCTTTGTCTTGCAATGTAGGTAAAAGGTGAAGTACATGGCTGGTAGATGTTCAAGTGCCCTGTAAATGAGAAAATCTACTCCTTCAGATTTTCTCTATCCTTTTCTTGTGCAGTACATTTCAAGAGATGATTTTGCAAGCAAATGAGAAAATGCAATAGTAGACAGTTTACACTAAGGGTATGTTTGGTTCCCCATGGAATTGGGGTTTAGAATTGGAATTGGGTCCTAAATTCCAAATCTGTTGTTTGGATACTGCTTCGCTCACAGAATTAGAATTGAATCTGAATTCTATAGAAACCTAATTCCATGAATTGAATTCTTTACCGGAACAAAAGAATTCTAATTCCAATTCCACAACTAAGCGGGTCATACGCGGATCTAGTATGGATCAAAAATTAAAATTGGGTCAAGGATATTGGCACCCCTCTCTTCCTATCTAACTCACCGTGTTTCCTCAGCTGCTAGTGCTCTGCTCTCCACCATCACTTCCACCTGCAACCCTAATATTATCGTATTAGAGAAGTGGACGGTAGAGAAAGGAGCCATTATGGCTAAATCTTTCTAGTCTTGAGATTCACTACTGTCAAAGATTAACCATGATTCCGGCCCGAGGGATTGAGGTTCATTGGTTCACTCAAAAAGTGTTGGCAATCCGTGAAGAATTTCAGAACAGGGTTCGAGGAGAGGATTTCGACAAAATCTGCCACAATATTCCTTCAGTAAGGATCCTTCCACCTCTAAATCGTATTTTGATACAGATATGTCTTGAACAAAAGCTTTAATTCTGGAAGCCTTTCATTCAGTGATGTATTTTTCTCCGCCTTCTTCTATTTCCCATTGTTTTTGTTTAACTCCATTTTATAGCTTCATATATCAGAATATATAGTGAGTACTACACTTTTTATCATTTACCTGCTCCTTCCTTCCTACTCGAATCCATGTTCTGAATACTGTGAGATCCAAGCTGCTTTTCGTATTTACTACTGCAGATGATGCCAAAGAATCTGTAAAGAAGGGAATTCGCTTGAGGTGAAAACCTTCTGAAGTTTTTTGACCATGGGCTTATTTTTTGCTTATCTCTGCTGCAGATTGCTGTTAGTTATCTTGATAATTGATATTTTAACCTTTCTGGTCAAGTTGTGCATTTCTTAATGATTGAAGGCCTGCTTTTGTTTCTGCTTCCTCTCACTAATTTGTTCTATTGTGACTGGAGTGGGTTTGAATTCAGTTAGTTAAATTGAGTCCAAGTTGCTTCCTCTCACTAATTGAATTGAGGGTTGATATCAAAGTGGGTGGCATATGATTCTAGGTAGTCAATGAATTGTTTCTTGGTGGCGTAATCAGGGTAATAATCAGGGAAGGGGAACTTATTAGCTATCCCGAATAACAAGACAGAAATGAAACCATATCCATTTTATCTTTCATATCCATTTCTGTTCAGGTGGACTCGTTCTAGTTTTGTTTGGCTCATTTCTTGTCTTGTTCATCAGATGTCTAATGACAAAAGAAGTTCCTTTGCACCTGTTTCTCTGGCTCAGTATATCTGATGCTGTCTTCCATACAAACAAAAACTTGGTCCTTAAATTAATCCAGGATCAATAGAATCTTCCCTTGTACTACTATTATATATCATTTGTCTAAATTATACTACTGCTTCATATGGATTGCTGGTGGTAGTATTTTAGCTTCACTCTGATGGATTTTCTGAAAAAGTTTAAATGAATCAGAAATAAGAAATTTTTGGGTTCAATTCCACCAGAATTTGGTTTATTTCTTGGTCGGAATTCTGAATTTTTACTGGATTGTTACTGGAAATGATGGAATTGATGACCCACCCCACTAGTTACAATATGATGTAGTTTTGCAGCATGATATTTATACCAGTTTTCTTCATTGAAAGTGGTACTGAATTCAAGAGAACCAATAGTGCAGCAAACTTTGGCTACCTGACAATAACTCCGTACAACCATATAAAAATGTTGATAGTTTTCTAGAAACTAATTAAGTTTCAGCTTTTGTTGGTGGCTGGAAGATTCTCCACAGGCTTTTGCTGATGAAGGTGGAGTTCTCCACAGGCTGCAGGAAGACTTGGCTTTTGGTGAAGGTGGTAGCGCAGAAGTTGTCCCCAAGGTGCTTGCATCTCCATGTAGGAGGAGGAGAGGTCTGCCTGACAAATTTGCTGCAACATATCAAAAAGATTAGTAGAGAAAATATAATTTCTGCACGTAGTCCCTTTGGATGATTATAGTTAAGTGGGGAACAATTTATAGCATTTCTTGGGATCTAATGGTTTTTTTTAAATTGCTTTGCATTCTTTCTCAAAATTAAGGAGCTTTTGTATAAGTGCTCTTCCTGTATTCTATTTAGCAAGTACTTGACTGTGTGTGAATAGGTCATCTGACAGTCTTAAGTTTTGTATTTTCCAACATCTCCTCCAAAGAAGCTGGTAAATATTAGTACAAAGGTTCGGTCGTGTATTTATCATATTGTGTTACAAAACAAGAAGCCTCGGGAATTTGTCTTCATGATTGAGATCTATTCTACATTTTTTCATTTTGTGGTGCACAGTTCTTTATTCGGTAGAGTCATAAATTTTACCCTACTCGATTATCACCAAAAAAGTCAATTTGTATATTTTGTCTTCTTTTTCACTATTTTCTTGGGTCAGGTAATTTGTGAGTAATTAACTGTCCGGTATTCTACCATGTTTTAAGAAATATGCTAGTGTCATTGGGGATTTACTTTTACGGGGTTGAGGTCCAGTTTTGGTTGGATGCCAATATCTATACCATACGTTGAACAAAAGAAGGCAGTCAGATTGACATGTCTCGCTAATGCTGTGCTTAGCACAACCTACGTCTGGAAATGGTCACCAAAGAAATTGATACAAGAGTGGGAAAAAATAAATTATTAAAGGCGCAAATTGGTTTTTACTTTTAAATCTTTAGTAAAAATTAGCTAAATATAAAGAAAAAAAATTATTATATAGAAAAAAGAAAAAAAGAAAAATTTTATGTAAGTAAATGTTTCATGAAAACAATTCTAATTCCTAATGAATTCTTCTCTCATGCAAACAAAGGATTTGGAATTCCAAATAAATTCCGTATCAATTCTATGCATTTCCCAAACGAAAGAATTGGAATGACTTGGAATTCCAATTCATAGAATTCTAATTCTATAGAATTTCAATTCTAATTCAATTCTAATTCTATAAAACCAAACGCACCCTAAAAGGTTTCAGTCGAATGCAACTGTATTCTAGTCTCTAGTTGTCAAATTTGGTGTTGCTATGTGTGACTGTCAGAAATTTATACAGCAGACCCTGCACATCGGACATCCATTATTTCGCTTTTGCTCAATTTTTTGGTGGCATCCTTTGTCAAAGTGAATTTATAAATTTTAACCCGCCGTCTCGCTGTCTGGTTCCAGGAAACCTTCAAGGAAAAAGAAAGTTACTCCATTAGAAACAGTGATGTGTTACATTGGTAAATATTAGCTGTCAAAGTCAATGACAAATATGTAACATATCATTGATAAACCAAACAAAAAGTAGAGTTGTTAACACGTCAAGTCGAGTTTTTGGCTTTTGAGCTCAGCTCATTAAGTTGTCAAGCCGAATTTGAGTGTGGCTGGATTATTCAACAAGTCAAAAATTGTATTCAGACTCGATTTATTAAAAAAATTTCGACCTGTATGATACAAATGAATCAAGTTTGAGCTTGAGAAAGTTAAAATGTGTTTGAATATCTTATACAATATTAAATGGCTTTTGAGCTCAGCGCATTAAGTTGTCAAGCCGAATTTGAGTGTGACTGGATTATTCAACAAGTCAAAAATTGTATTCAGACTCGACTTATTAAAAAAATTTCGACCTGTATGATACAAATGAATCAACTTTGAGCTTGAGAAAGTTAAAATGTGTTTGAATATCTTATACAATATTAAAAAATTAACCAATTTAATTAACCTATTAATTGAGAAAAATTTCTCAAAATGTAAGATGTTCGGTTCCAAAATTTTTTTTTTAAAGACTAAATCCTAAACAATCAAGAGAATCTAATTCTACATAATTATTAAGAAAAATTAGACACACTAAATTGAATAAATATATAAATGAGCCTAAATAAACATAAATGAACTATTTGTTATCTGGGTTTAGTTTAATTCATTTCGAAAATGAGCCTAATTTGATGTTTAACCTTGACTTGTTTAAATAAACGAATAAGTCGAACTCAAACTATGCTAGCATAGCAAAATCAAGCTCATGTGCATCGCGGTTCGTTTAATAGCTCTAAACAAAAATAATAGTTAACCATCTTTCTTAACAAGAAGTTAATATGTGACACTGGTTTACCGCAATAAACTTTTAACGGGACATTCGCTTTTGAATTTTTATGCCCGGGCGTTTACAAGTCACGATATCCTCCATTAAATTATCGGTGTTTCAACTCCACATCAATCCGTTGTAGTCTAGATGGTTAGGATATTCGGCTCTCACCCGAAAGACCGGGTTCGAGTCCCGGCAACGGAATTTTTGCGTTTTTTTTGCGTTTTCGACACGATCGAATCAAGCTTCAAGACTTCAACTAAACACACAGTATAGGATTGTATTAAGCGCCTCTTAGAGCTACCTGAGACGCACCCGAAAGCTAGAAAGTAGCAAAATCAGCTGCAGCAGCTAGAAGGAGAGGAATACATGCTCATTATAAGTAGATGCTTATATCTCATTCCAATCAAATATAGTGGCTTGCCATATGTTAATTAGACAGTGGGGGTTTGTCGAAAGACAAAAACCAGCCGTTTCTTGAAGTATTCCTCAAATTCCTAAGAGGAACGGCTATAGGCCTACAAATATTACTGCATCAGCTGAGCAATGAGGAAAGAGGACGGTAGGGAGGGAGGAAGGGGATGATGAGCGTCTCCTCTCTATGGGCTGTGCCGTTGAAGGGGAATTTAAAGCAAGCCAAAAGTGATACTGTACATCACAATTCAATAAATTGGTTGCCATTGATTTGAACTGCTGCAGCTGGTATGCTTTTTCTTCAAATAACATGTCATGGCTCTTCTATGGTACCATTTGAGTACTCGTAACCAGCCACATGGGAGGTTCCATTTGATAATCGGTTCATGCTATTGGAATTTGAGGAAGGGGAATGGTTGGAAAGAGGGTTGCCTCGTGAGTACCGGTTCTGTGCAGCAGTGCTACTTCTTGTGGCCTTGAGACGTGCTTTTCTGCCCTGCAGCCATGAAGTGCATTTTAAGATGGACTATAATTTCAAGAATTAATATAGAAAACTAAAAACTAGCCACCCAGGTCAAACAGATAAAAACTTGGAAAACATATGGCAACCAAAACAAGATGGCCAGATCAATACATTAATGAATTTAGCTTGAATTGATTTGATAAGAGATCATAATAGAACTTGAAGGACTACCTTTCCCATGCACTTTTCCAGATGAGGAGCAAAACGTCCAGCCATAATTGATCGGCCACAATTCATGCAATCAAATATTTCATTAGCTACAGGAGGATGTGTTTGTCCAAATATATCAAGCACATATTTGCTAGTCGTTTCACCACTACTACTAGGGTCTGCTACCCGGGCTCGAGCCTGTGCTGATAACCTCAGTTCTTCTTCCTCGTCATCTAAACTACGATCAAGTCCCAATCTTGCTATTCGGTGACATTCAGATGCAACATCAACAATAATAGAATCCAGAAGTTCTCCAAAAAATTGAGATGAAAGCTGCCAATGCAACCAAAAACAAGCTAGCCATTAGTATCACATCACCTAAATCTTGCATATCTAGGCATTTAATTGGAAAACTAAGAGCAAATAGAGCAAGGACAAACAAGTAATGGGATCTCGTTCGCATAAAACAACATTTCCTGCTAAATGCATGTATATTGCGCAAGCTCGGATTTAGACGTCTTCACTAGCAAATATGCATAAACGGATACATACAACCCCATCAAGTCATCAACGAGCACTTAGTCATAACTTAAAAGGTGGGAGAATGTAGCACAGGAATGAAGGAAGGAAATAGGTGTCAAAACAATACCATTAAAAGAGTTGATGAGGAAGTCAGACCATTCCATTAAATCTAAACGAATCAAGAGATGGGGGAAGAATTACATCCATTAGCAACATCATACTAAAAGTAGAATTCAATATGGACCATAGTTACCTGAGAATGAGAAGACAGATTATCCTCATTTGGTGCTGCCATGATCTGCCCAGAGCTCTTGTCCTACTATCCTATATCCTATCAAGAAACATTCAATAAATTAAAAAAAAAAAAAAAGAGAGAGAGAGATAGAGAGAGAAAAGCTTCAGCTGGTTTATGTCATAAAGTTAGGTTGGCTAACAAAAGGGGGGCAAAAAAATGCTGAATCCAGTGGAAACCGAGTTTACCCGAAACCACAAATTAGGGATAACAGAAAATCTAGGGCAACTATGAATATAGGAAGAAACAAAAAGACAGAAAAGGTGAAAACAGAAGCCATAATCACCTATTTAACAATCCTTCGAGAAAATTTACTTTTCGGAAAGAGATGTTCCAAGGGTACTGGATAAACAATAAGCAATGATAATCATCAACTCAGAACTGAATTAAGATTTCCATACGTGCTTGAATTTTATGTTCTTATTTCTAAAAGCGAAGAATTATAAAGCAGTAATTGGAAAACAAAATTCCAGTTTCGTGAAAGGAATACTTACAAATCAATACGGCGTCGTGTCTAGCTTATGAGTTCGGGGTGAGGATGGTAGGGATTGCTGGCACCTCTTTTACCCCGGGACCGAAGCAAGGGGTCGTGGATTTGGAAATGTATACGGCGTCGTTCTAGTGTATGAAGTCCTCCTTGTTCCACGCAACGACGCGTAACACGTTATCTTAATATTCGTGCTTGATAATAGTTGCATTGACGTGATTTACTGCCTTTTTTTTGGTAAGACAAGTTTAGTTTGGATCATTACCACGGATTAGAACATACTTCTAAAACATAAGCCGCTTGTAGATATTTTTATAGATCACTCATCGACATAACTTTCACATCGGTCGCGAACACATAACTTTTTCTTAGTAAATAATCATTTCTTATTAATTGAATTAATTTATGTTGACACCTAATTTTCTTTCCTAGGGTCTCATCTTCACAATTGCTCCTTAGAGATGGCAAATGGACAGAGTGGATAGGATTTATGTGGGACTCAAATAAAATTGAAAAATATGGACATTTTCTCAAACAGTCTGGTAAGGAAGAGGTAGACTTGTTAAAATATGAGAGTTATTTTTGGTTTAAAATAATTACAAATTTCTTTTTGATAGAGAAAAATTATTTAAGTTCAAAAATAATAGGTTTGGAATCTACATTGGGACCCAAAAACAAACTTGTGAGTTTGTGTAGCAAACTGCATGCTCCATATATGCGCAGTGAATTTAAACAGCACCTAAGGGACTTCCTACTTGTAGAAGGGCCTCACAAGTGAATGAATTATATTAATGTGTAAATACAATATAGATAGCGTATAAATGAGTTGCAGTATAATAAAAAAAAAAACTTAAAATGATCATTTCATCTTGAGATACAGCGAAATGAAACTTGTGGTCTTCGAATCTTATCTATTTAACCCCTCAAGATAATTATGATTTTTTTTTTTTTTTTGTATAAAGGACTCAGCTAGGCAAGCAGGCTCAACGAGGCAGGGTGGCTTGGATCCTTTTAATCTAGATCCAAATGCATTAAATTTAATTAGATTCAGACCTAAACCCTAATGGATTTTAGTATCCAATTGGTATTCATAGATATTTTTTTGAACAACAAAAGTAAAAATATTTTGACAATATATGCAGTTCAAAAATAATATAAATACCATCCAATGTTTATTTTCAAATAATAAAATTAACATTCAAGTTGTTGAATGTAATATTATGAATTCAAAAAAGAACCAATCAACTAAAACTCTTTATTTTCAGAGATTCATCTACATCTATATTTAATCTTTCATTTGTTTGCTTCTATTTTTCTCCTTTTCTTGAAAAGATTTGTACCAAATATAGAATATTAGATTATTTAATAAATTTACTAATACATATATTTTATTAAATATATATTAAATTATTTACTGATATATATATATTTAATTTTTTGTTTATACATGAGTTTTGGTAGGGTTTGGTTTGAATCTGGATCATTAAAAATTAGATTTTATCCAGACCCATGACTGTTTTACAGGATCTGAATTTGGGTAGGTTTGAGTTTAATTTAAATCTTATCCAAATATATTTGATGTAAATAAAATTTGACCAATTGATATGTCTAAACTCAACGTTCAATAATGATTGCATTATTTCTCAATATTCCGCAATCGGGACAATAATGGTTGAAGTGCCCAATTTGTTTTATGAGTATTTAAGTAGTGAAGAAGTCAAAGAAAGGATTGGATTAGGTGATAAAATACAAAGGATCATGAGTAAGAGGTTCCAAATTTAAAACTATTCATGAAAAAAAGAAAAGTGAAGAAGCCACGTTTAGGTGCTTCTCCCGTAAATGAGAAACTGAAAAGCAGCCCGAAACGGAAATCATCATCAATCCATTTGTTCTTTTCCCCTCTGAATTTTGATGGTCTAACGACCGATCTTCGATAGGTTGTGGCTAGGGCTGCAAACGAGCCGAGTCGAGTTGAGTTTTGAGCTAATCGAGCCGAGTCGAGAGTTTTGAGCTAATCGAGCCGAGTCTCGACTAAATTTTACCAAACTCGAGTTCGAGCTCGAGCTCGACGAGCCGGCAAATTTCGAGCTCGAGCTCGAAAAAAAATAAAAAAATTATTTTATTTAAAAAAAATAAAATAATATTATTTTCTTAATAAATAATAAAATATTAAGGATATATATGTAATTTTACTATGAAAATAAAAAATAAAAAAATATATATATAATATACGTAATTTTATTATTAAATAAAAAAATAAAAAAAAATATATATATACCCAAGCTCGCGAGTCTAACAAGTTTAATATTCTGAGTTTGAGCTCGAACTCGACTCGAGCTTGACTCGAGCCGCTCGATTCGTTTGCCGTCTTAGTTGTGGCCTGTGAGGTCTGATAGGGGAAATGCCAGTAGTATTTCCAAACTGAAGAATTTTCTATGGCTTTCAATCTTCTCAGGATTTGGGAGTTTGCAGCTACTTCATTTACTTCCTTACTTTTTGGCGTCATTTCAGATACTTTTCCTCCAAAAAAAGAAGGAAAAAAAAAAGATGAAAAACTTCGAAATATGACACAAACAATAAATATAACAATGTTTAGGGAAAAAAAAAAAAAAAACTTGGCATTGGAAAGAGGTACAAGACGAACAATGAAAAAAGACAAGTGAGGGAAACGATATATAGATTAAAAATAAAACGAGAATAAAAGTCCGCATGAGTCCCAACTAAACGTCGCGTACACATATTTCTTTTTCAGCCATAGACAGTGACCCTATCATAGCTATTCTACAGTGTCCTCTCCAAAACTATCCAAGAAATGG